CATCTCCAGAAGGGGCTAAGAATTGTAATTGCGAACATCTCTCCTCTAGAAAAGCTTGTGGAAGCAGAATGGGTTCGAGCTCGATATGATCCACACCCAAAACTACAAGCTTGAATGACCCTACCAAACTCTTTTTAAAAAGTAGGCTCGTTGAGACCTCACTCCGTTCCTTAGCTAGAACAATTAGATTAGGCGGGCTTTTAATTAAGGATAGCGCTGAGGCGGCACACAAAGATGTCAAAAAACCCGTGACTATGGGAGTAGTTGGTGTGTAAGTTCCTCCTACCTCTCGGATCAAAAGTGAGAGGCATGGGGGTTTTAAGCATCTCTGGACAGATTTACTCCCAATGACAAGGATCCTCTATTTGAAATTTGAAGCAGAGAAAGATCAGAAAATAGGAATGGAGTGATTTCGGCTTAGAGCGGCCAAGCTCACTTCCAGCCGTCAGATGGTCTATCAAAATCAGCAAGCCTTTCTCTTTCTCATTGACCTTTGACCACAGTTCTAGTAAGAAGCTAGCAGTGACTGTATTCATAATAAGGAGATTTCCATTGCTAAGTCTCGGACCCATCTTCCACAAATGAGAACTTCCCTCGAAATAATGGCTATTGATGCAGAAGAAAGTCAATCATTAGGAAATAAGGTAGCAATCTCATATTATATACCCTGGGGATAGAGATCGAAGAGCCAAGGGAGTAGTACATCATCAGGTATCGTCCCCAATTAATGATACAAAAAGTCTTTGATTAGTTTGAATGAAAAAGTGCATATTTGACTTCCTGCTCAGTTGGTTGGCTTGGGCCACTGCTAGAATGAGTCAATTTCAGAACTGGCGCCAGATCCTGCTCCTTCTGTACATGCTCAGACTCAGTAGGTGGGCTTTTAATTAAGGATAGCGCTGAGGCGGCACACAAAGATGTCAAAAAACTTGTGATTGTGAGTTGTTGGCGTGTAAGTTCCTCCTACCTCTCGGATCAAAAGTGAGAGGCATGGGGGTTTTAAGCATCTCTGGACAGATTTACTCCCACTGACAAGGATCCTCTATTTGAAATTTGAAGCAGAGAAAGATCAGAAAATAGGAATGGAGTGACTTCGGCTTAGAGCGGCCGAGCTCACTTCCAGCCGTCTGATGGTCTATCAAAATCAGCAAGCCTTTCTCTTTCTCATTGACCTTTGACCACAGTTCTAGGAAGAAGCTAGCAGTGACTCTACTCATAATAAGGAGATTTCCATTGCTAAGCCTCGGACCCATCTTCCACAAATGAGAACTTCCTTCGCAATAATGTCTATTGATGCAGAAGAAAGTCAATCATTAGGAAATAAGGTAGCAATCTCATATTATATACCCTGGGGATAGAGATCGAAGAGTTGAGGGAGTAGTACGTCATCAGGTATAATCCCCAATTAATGATACAAAAAGTCTTTGGTTAGTTTGAATGAGAAGTGCGTATTTGACTTCCTGCTCAGTTGGCTGGCTTGGGCCACTGCTAGAATGAGTCAATTTCAGAACTGGCACCAGATCCTGCTCCTTCTGTACATGCTCATACTCGTCATCAGAGTCAGCATAATCTAGCTGCTCCTTTTCCTTTGTTGTTTTCTTGGGCTTCGGTCCAGTTTGTTGAGTTCATATGAAAAAAATGGTCTGAAAGTGTTGTGGAGGAAACCCCTCCAGGGCTGTTGGCTAAGTGAGGGCCAACTTAGTCCATCTTTAGTCCATCTTGGTAGGAGCGATGAAGGCTGGGTTGTCATGAGATGCAGTTAGAGCCCTGTTGAGGAGATGCAGTCATATTCATCACTGTAAGAATTGGGTTCAAGCTTTCCCTAGCCTCTTCTCATCAACGGACTCCTGCGTATTGATTCATTATTGACTAAACGGGAAATGCTTGCTTCGAAGTCAATTCTTACTCAGGGTTGCAAATGAGCCAAGTTGAGCCGAGCTTTAGGCAGCTCAGGCTTGGCTCACCCAAGTCAAAGAGGTGCTTGGCCTTGGCTCGGCTGAGCATGGCCTAGCCAGGCTCGAGCTCGGCTCGACTTGTGATCGTATGTGGGTGTGTATGTGTGTGTGTGTATATATATATATATATCAATCAACTGAATTGAGGAATCATTTTGGAACAGAAATACGCCACCATCAATTCCATATTAAACACTCATCTTCCATATTCTTCATAGTCTCTCCTTCACCAACTTTAAATTCATCAATGTTCCATATATCATATTTATCAACAATATTATCAGAGGAAATCAAGTGAGAGAGAGAGGGAGGAGAGAAAGGGGTACAAACATACCTAACCTTATGTCGCACTAGGAGTAGAAGACAGTCACCTAAGTAGTAGAAGGATGGTGCACAAACATGATTTCCGTTGCAGATACGCTAGTGGGGTTGGAGAAGCATGTTGCAACATCTTACGGCTAGTTTTTTTCGGGTTTGTTTTTTATCTAATCGTTGAGAAATTAAAATGTCAATCCAACAGGTGAGATGAATCTATGATTTAATCAGTGGGCTACTAAATTAAATGAGTTTCTAAATGCCCAAATACTAATTGGGCCAATGAATGAACCAACGAAAAATATATATGAATTTGGCTAGATTTCTATATTTTGGCTATTTTAAAATACAATACATATATATGTATATAATTATATATATTTATGTAAACGAGCCTGTTCACGAGCTCACGAGCCGAGCTTAACATTGTTCAAGCTCGTCTTGTTTACTAAATGAGCCTGAAAATTGAGCTCGAGCCCTAGCCTCTTCTCATCAACGGACTCCTGCGTATTCATTCATTACCGACTAAACGGGAAATGCTTGCTTCGAAGTCAATTCTTACTCAGGGTTGCAAATGAGCCAAGTCGAGCCGAGCTTTAGGCAGCTCAGGCTTGGCTCTCCCAAGTCAAAGAGGTGCTTGGCCTTGGCTCGGCTGAGCATGGCCTAGCTCGGCTCGACTTGTGATCGTATGTGGGTGTGTATGTGTGTGTGTGTGTATATATATATATATATCAATCAACTGAATTGAGGAATCATTTTGGAACAGAAATACGCCACCATCAGTTCCATATTAAACACTCATCTTCCATATTCTTCATAGTCTCTCCTTCACCAACATTAAATTCATCAATGTTCCATATATCATATTTATCAACAATATTATCAGAGGAAATCAAGTGAGAGAGAGAGGGAGGAGAGAAAGGGGTACAAACAGACCTAACCTTATGTCGCACTAGGAGTAGAAGACAGTCACCTGAGTAGTAGAAGGATGGTGCACAAACATGATTTCCGTTGCAGATACGCTAGTGGGGTTGGAGAAGCATGTTGCAACATCTTACGGCTAGTTTTTTTCGGGTTTGTTTTTTATCTAATCGTTGAGAAATTAAAATGTCAATCCAACAGGTGAGACGAATCTATGATTTAATCAGTGGGCTACTAAATTAAATGAGTTTCTAAATGCCCAAATACTAATTGGGCCAATGAATGGACCAACGAAAAATATATATGAATTTGGCTAGATTTCTATATTTTGGCTATTTTAAAATACAATACATATATATGTATATAATTATATATATTTATGTAAACGAGCCTGTTCACGAGCTCACGAGCCGAGCTTAACATTGTTCAAGTTCGTCTTGTTTACTAAATGAGCCTGAAAATTGAGCTCGAGCCCTAGCCTCTTCTCATCAACGGACTCCTGCGTATTCATTCATTACCGACTAAAAGGGAAATGCTTGCTTCGAAGTCAATTCTTACTCAGGGTTGCAAATGAGCCAAGTCGAGCCGAGCTTTAGGCAGCTCAGGCTTGGCTCTCCCAAGTCAAAGAGGTGCTTGGCCTTGGCTCGGCTGAGCATGGCCTAGCCAGGCTCGAGCTCGGCTCGACTTGTGATTGTATGTGGGTGTGTATGTGTGTGTGTGTGTATATATATATATATCAATCAACTGAATTGAGGAATCATTTTGGAACAGAAATACGCCACCATCAGTTCCATATTAAACACTCATCTTCCATATTCTTCATATACTCTCCTTCACCAACTTTAAATTCATCAATGTTCCATATATCATATTTATCAACAATATTATCAGAGGAAATCAAGTGAGAGAGAGAGGGAGGAGAGGAAGGGGTACAAACAGACCTAACCTTATGTCGCACTAGGAGTAGAAGACAGTCACCTGAGTAGTAGAAGGGTGGTGCACAAACATGATTTCCGTTGCAGATACGCTAGTGGGGTTGGAGAAGCATGTCGCAACATCTTACGGCTAGTTTTTCGGGTTTGTTTTTTATCTAATCGTTGAGAAATTAAAATGTCAATCCAACAGGTGAGATGAATCTATGATTTAATCAGTGGGCTACTAAATTAAATGAGTTTCTAAATGCCCAAATACTAATTGGGCCAATGAATGGACAAACGAAAAATATATATGAATTTGGCTAGATTTCTATATTTTGGCTATTTTAAAATACAATACATATATATGTATATAATTATATATATTTATGTAAACGAGCCTGTTCACGAGCTCACGAGCCGAGCTTAACATTGTTCAAGCTTGTCTTGTTTACTAAATGAGCCTGAAAATTGAGCTCGAGCTTGGTTCATTTACTGAACGAACGAGCCCGAGCTTTTAACGAGCAGAGCTTAAGTTTTCCATGAACGGCTCGGTTCATTTGCAGCCCTATTCTTACTCTTGCTCCGCTCTTGATTACTATGATTCACATTTTGAGCAGGCATTAATACATCTATTGGAGAATTTCCATCTAATGACCAGTTGTAAAGGTCAAATTACAAGCTTTTATTGCTATCATTCCCAAAAATCAAATTCCATGCTTGTTTTGGTTCCGTTGCTAGTTTAGAAAAATGAAGATGGAAGTCCGTAATGAAAACATATTGTTCAGAGCTTGATACATAAAAACAATCAAGAAAGATTTTGGCTTCATGTGTTTAAAAAGTTTTTCTATTCATTGCTATATTTTAGTGATGTTTTTATATTATGTCTCCTTAGGAATTCTTGAACATGCGGAGATTGCCCTTCGCATCAAGAAAGGAATGCCTCCAAAATCCGTAAGTTCAACATCTTTATAATTTTTATTTTTTATATAATTATAATTATTCTTTTAACTATATATATTGTTTGACCATTAAACAACAGGATTTAAGTGGTTTCAAACATCTTTTTCTTGTGGAGAAGCACAACATAATATTAGAAAATTATGGGTTGTACAAAAAGGGCAACACTGATTGGAATGTGGCTGGGGGTTCCAAGTTGAGATATATCTCAATAGAAGACTTCATGTGGTGGTTCTATAGGATTCCTGGAAAGTACAACAAAGGGATTTATAATTACATGTTTAAGCAACAAATTTATGTTTTGGAGAATTGTGCTTTTACTGTATTAGAACACCCAGTAATCATCTGTTCTTGGCAACCACCATTCGACGGGTGGTACAAGTTAAATGTTTCTGGGTTTTTTAAGGAAAATCTTGATGGGACCATAGAAGCTTCTTGTGGACAAGTACTCAGAGATTCTTGGGGAATGGTTTTGGAAAGGTTCCATAAGCCACTTCCTGATGCGACATCTAGAGATGAAGCTTTCATACTTGGAGTGCATCATGGGATATATGAAATTCTACAAAGGAGATCGGAAGCAAAGAACATTATTTTGGAGATTGACCATAAAATAATTTTCAACGTGCTAAGTCGTTTTCAGCATCTACGCTTTGACCATAGGGAACTTTATTTGTAAGCTTTTAGTATAAAGTTTCAGTTTAGACTTTAATTTTATATTCCCGTTTCCAATTATATTGATATAAAAATTATTTTTATGCAGGGAAATTTTTACTTTGTTGTCAAAATTTGACAAATATGAAATTTCGTTTCGATATTCTCAAGGAAATGGGCTAGCTAAAAGAGTTGCTTATATAGCTTCACATCTGACTATGGGACAGAGTTTTCCCACAGGCGACAAAGGTTATGAAACACAAGTCAAGTGTGATCAATGGAAGATTCCACGATATGAGATCGCCCTGGAAAAAAGGAATGAAGTTGAAGAATCGTGCGATGAGGATATTGAGGGAGAGAACAGGAGTCGCATTGGTTTTCCGGGAGATCTGTTGCGGAAATTTGCTGATGGAGAACCACTCTGGTAGGAGTTGGACGAGATTGAGGAGTGAGAAAGGGGTAGGAAAATTTGAGAGAAAAGGTTTTGTAATCTGAATTTGAATTTTTTTTTTTTTTTAATTAATTTTTCTTCCCTAGTTGGTACTTCTGAAAATTATTTAATTGGCCCAAGCTTGGTCCATAATTAAAATTAATACAAGTAGAAAGCAATCTAGAAAGGTAGAAGAAAATATAGGAATGAGGTCTTGGGGCTTACAGTCACCAATACTCATGATTTTATATTTATGTATTTATGGAGATATATGTATGTTTGGGTTAATTTAATTATAAGGAATTATTAATAATTAAATTAGAGAACCCCTGACTTCCCTTTGGGAAGTAAGAGGCCGATACCGCTAGGTTACTGGCCCGTTGGTGAATTTGAATTTTTAATAAACCAAATGGTTGTAAACCCCCTTGCAGTTTCAAAAAATTGCAAAATACCCCCCTCTACTATTTTCTTTGTCAACAAACATCCTCAATTTACAAACTGTTGCAAATTACCTCAATTGACTTATGGAATTTTGAATTTTGTTGTTAAAGTAGTCACAGCATGAATTGATTGTTTTGACAAAAGTTGTCTCATGCATCTTACACTTGTAGTCCATTTCTTCTAATGAAGTACTCGAGTGTCAATCTAGGAAGCACACATTCTTCCTCGGGTCGCCGTGGATAAATGTCTGACACTGCTGTAAAGTATCCTGGATTTAAAATATTTGTTAAAAAATAGGATACGGCATGATGCTTCCGGATACGATTGGGCAAAGCTGTAAATATTTTTCTGAGAAAACGAGAGTCGTATTGTAGTAGTAAATAAAAAATCATTGTCTCTACGACTTCAATAATGCTTCCAAGTGCAGGACGCAGCAAAGTAACATATACTTGGTGAGTCCGAGGTGGAAAACAACAATTATTAGGGAAAGCAAAGAAATATTATTAAAAGTGTGATGGAAATTGGTTGTTTGATCACAAAGAAATAATTTTAATAAAAATAAAATTTTGAAAGCACTAAGGTTTTAGAGATTCACAATTTCACACACAACGAATCTATGGTTTTTGCTAACAATTTTAATTTATAACTTAATTGAGACTCATACGAAGGATGATCCCTATTGGATGATATTGGAAGCTAATTTATCAAAAATATTTCTAAAAAGATGATTTAATAATTGTTGCACTCCTTGTGTTCATTTGATTGAATGCACTTTGTGATAAAACATTACGTAAGATTAAAAATCAAGATGAGGCTGATCCATGTTTGATAGGAAAAAATTGGTTAACTTTAAATTTACTGATTTCGTTTTTTAGTTTAACTCAGTCCAATAGATATGGACAATTGAATTACTAAATCATGACAAAATAGCCGAATGTCGGCCCAGTAATTCATTTGTCGATATAAAAATCAATGTAGCATTTATACATGTATTAATCTATTGTGCTTAGATGCAAAACTTTTTATATTAATTGTTGAGTTGTATTTTTTTTTTTTTTTCTTTCTCCCATTTTTTTTATTTATTTTTTAAAGTTGAAGAGATTCCCCCAACTCCCACCCCCCCCCCTCCCCCCAAACACATCCAGCCCCTTTTGTTTTGAGTAATTCACTTTTTGCCAAAATCTTAGCTTCAACCAAACTTCTACAGCCCCTTACATGATTATGAGTTATTCACTCTAAGGTGTATATAAAATAATAATAATAAAAAAAAACCGCTGGAATCAGCGGTACGAACCGAACCGAACTGTCACTTCAGTTCGATTATTTTATGGTTCGGTTTCGGTTCCAAAATAAGGAACCGTTAGTTTACGATTTTGTTTCCAAGTCCATTAGAACCGACCCATAGGCTAAATATATATATATATATATATATATATATATATATATATATTATAATATTAATATATAATGATATAACATTTTCACAAAGATAAGACTATTCACAAGTGCACAAATTTATCTTAAAAAATAATAAAAATAATTATCAATTTTTCCTATGATAATAAAAATTATTTCAAATGAGAACCGCGGAGTTCGGTTTGGTTCGGTTCCAAGCATGTTGTTCAAGGTGCGCCTAGGCTCGAGCCTTGGCGCGCCTAGTCGCAAGGCTCAGGTTTAGCGCTTTTTGTTATCCCAGGCTCACTGATGTTTATTAGGCGCGCGCCTCGGTTGCGTCTCGTCCTGTTTGTGAAGCGCGTGCCTCGGTTGCGCCTCGTCCTGTTTGTGAGGAACACCTCACTAATATTTCTTAAACAAAAAATGGTACTTTTGGCAACTTAACAAAAAAAATTAAAAAAAAAACCGTATTTAACATTTAACTTATCAAAAAAAATAATAAAAAAGAAAGCCCAAGACGAACAGCGATAGAATGAGATTGTGAGACGAAAACGAAGCCTTAGTTGCGGAAATGAACGACGAAGCCACCTCAGTTCTTTCTCTTTTCTTTTCTTTTCTTTTCTTTTTTTTTTTTTTTTTTTTTGGTTCTGTTTTTTTTTTTTTTTTTTAACATTTTTTTTGAAACATATTTATTTCTTTTTGTGCTTTATTTTGGCATTCAAAAAAACACATTTTGCTTTCCTTTTAAGAAAACAAATTTGTGCTCTGTTTTATAGTTGTTGGATGCTTGTATAGTTGATGGATTTACTTTTTATACTTGATATTAATTTTTAGAATAATGATTCGACTTATGAGATATGAATGTTATTATGGCAGTTTAAATTATCAAAATTGTGCACCTCACTTCACTCAAGCATGCGCCTTATCGTGCACCTCGTGCTTAGACTCCAAATGACCTTTAACGTCTTGGTGCACCTTGGGCCTTTAATAACACTGATTCCAAGCCTCAATGCTTCCAGTTCCAATATTTTAGGAATCATTGAGATCAGTTCGGTTGCATTTTAGCTTGGAACCGAACTAGACTCTTTGCACATTCACTTTGCTGAAATCTTAGCTTGAGCCAACTTCTAAAGGTTTTTGTTGTTTATCGTATTTTTACATGTTTATGGCACAATTCTGATAATTTTGTACTATCATACGTTGTAGTTTACAACATTATGAAAGATTTGGGTCAACCACTTCAACATCTAATTGTTCTTTTGAGCCCAATCTTTAAGTATTTAAGCCATAGTTTTATGAAAGGTTTCAGTTATAATTAAAAAATACGTAGTTATCAAATGTTTTTAATTTATCCAAAGGTATTTTGTTTTTAGGGTAAATTCCGTGAGGTTTGGCCAAATCTTACATGGATGGAGCGTTTAAGACTTATTACTTTCATCTCCCCTAAGGTTTAGTACTTGAGCTCAATCACCGCCCTGCCGTTTTCTATCCATTAGAACCGTTAACCAAATTTTATAAAATGGCCATATTACCCTTAGGTTCTATTACCCCCAATTTATTTTCTCTTCTTCCCACGGCATGTTCTGCAAATTATCCCACAATAGCACACGCGACCTAGAACCCCCAACACTCACATGAAGACGCCTATCTCTTTCTCTAAAAACAAACTCTCTTAAGGCCATCTGCATCAGCATCTCCGAATTTTGGCTCTCTAAAAATGCCACATCAGCTTTTCCAAGAGCCACGTCAATAATTTCAAGAGCCACGTCAGCAGTTTTCGCTCTCCACAAACATGCACTCCATCAGGCTCTCTGAATTTTCGCTCTCTAAAAAAAAAAAAAATTAATAAAAAATTAAAATTAATTATTATTATTTTTTTAACTTTTTCTAAACGGCTATATTTTTAACGGCTATATTCGTAACAACTATATTTTTCATCTTATATAATGAATACTCATTTACTCATTTAAAAATGATCACTACATTCATCTCTCTCTAATGTTGCAAAACATCATTATCCATCTTTTTCAATTTTGAAAATCCAATGGCTTTGTCATAACAAGCTTTTCCTTTGGCAGACTCTAATTCTTCATCTTTCTCGTCTCCTCTTCGGAAGATGACCCTTTTGGGGCATTGATTCAACAGGATCAAGACGAATTCTATGAGATTATGAATTCAGTGAGGCTAAAGTTATTTGAGCAAGTATTTCAAGTCCGTAAAAGGAAGCGGCACATTCATCGTGACCGAGAGGGAAACCACTATCAGCTAATGAAAGACTACTTTGATGAGAATTGCACATATCCACCGGACTACTTTCACAGGCGATTCGGGATGCGATGAGAACTTTTTCTTCGTATCCTTAATGATGTTAAAGCTTATGATGACTATTTTGTCCAAAAAAAGGATGCGACTGGTCGTCTGGGGTTGTCTTCTATATAGAAGATGACAACTGTTGTTCGTATACTCGCATATGGTTGTGCAGCCGATCACTATGCTATTGTTGTTGTGTATGCAATGGAGTATATACGCCCACCCAACGAAGCCAACATAGCACGGCTGCTTGAAAAAGGGGAGTAGAGAGGATTTCCGGGTATGCTTGGTTCTATCGACTGTATGCACGGGGAGTGGAAGAATTGCCCAATGGAGTGGCACGGAACACATAAGGGACGATCTGGCAAGAATACTCTCATATTGAAAACAGTTGCCTCACAAGATTTGTGGATCTGGCATGCATTCTTTGGAATGCTGGATTCACACAATGATATAAATGTGTTGGATCATTCCCCGATATTCAACGGTATCGTCAATGGCCAATTACCTCCGGTTAATTATGTAGTGAATGAACATCACTATAGAGTAGGATATTACCTGTCTGATGGTATATACCCTAAGTGGGCAACTTTGATGCAAACCATCCCGCACCCAACCACCGGAAAAGAAAAATTGTTTGCTTAGTAACAAGAGGCATGCAGGAAAGATGTGGAACGGGATTTTGGGGTATTGCAAATCAAGTGGGCAATAACGCAAGGACCAGTGCGCAACTGGGAGAAAGATGACTTGCGCCTCATAATGAAAACGTGCAGCATCCTTCACAATATGATCATTAAAGATGAGCGTCACACAAATGTTGGAAGATGGACTCCGTCACTGGAGGATGCAATCCCGATTCCCATTTTAAGTCAATGCCCATCGGTTTTAGCAGCACACATATTCTCTCGCCAACTTCAGATCGACAACAGAGAGACAACT